TGGAAAACTGTTCATTTCCCCAACAGCACACACATACAGTTTTGCTCTCATTGTTATGGCGAGTGAACTACTCAGCCTAATTTCTATAAAATGAAAATCCTGATCTCGTCCCTTGTTGGAGTTCAGCTATGAAAAAACTGCTTTCCAGGTACCTTTTTACCACTATCAGTGGGTTGCTATGACCTGTAAGACTCCACTATCTCACTCCCGAGTCAAAGCATCGTCCATCAGAGGAGCACAGGCACCGTCCGCCTTCCACTGAATTCAAAATGTGGCCATGAAAACTCTGTTGATTAAAACACAGCACACAGAGAATATTTCTCTGGCAGATACTCACGTTTACTATATTGATGAGTCGTACCTATTAATATATTGAGATACTAAGTCGCTCCGATGGGTGTCCGTGTTGAATAAGACTTACAGTAGGGAGTGATTTGAGTTCTCAAATGGAGTATAAAGGTGGTAAAAAACATATCGGTCTGTGTTTTGTATATATCATTTTAAAGACTCCAGAGTTGTTGTTTTTTTAGTGTAAATGATGTAAAATCAAAAACATAAATTGCTGACCCTGGGACTGAGCTCCTCTCTTTGTAACTGGGTTCTGGACTTCCTCACCAACAGACCGCAGTCTGTGAGGATCCACAATGTCTCCTCATCTTCCATAGTCCTCAACACTGGCTAGCCTCAGGGCTGTGTGCCAAGTCCCCCCCTGTTCATGCTGCTTACATATGACTGCTCACCCAACCACCCAGGCTGTCATATTGTAAAGCTTGCGGACAATGATGAGACCGGCTACAGGAAGTAGGTGGAACCACTTAGAGGACTGGTGCAGGAAAAACAACACTTCCAGCCTGATCAAGAAGTCTCACCAGAGGCTCTACTTCCTGAGGAGGTTGAAGCGTGCGGGAATGGAGAGCTCAGTCCTCATCTCATTTTACAGATGTGCGGTGGAGAGTATTCTAGGCTCTGGCATCAACATGTGGCACGGAAACGGCACTGTGGCAGAGAGGAAAGCTCTACAGAGGGTGATGAAGGCTGCGCAGAGAGTTGTCGGAGGCAGCCTCCCAACCGTCACAGACATATACACCTCCAGACGCAGGAAGATGGCCACCTGTATCATGAAGGACCCCACTCACCCAGCACACACACTCTTTGTCCGCTCCACTCAGGCAGGAGGCTGAGGAGCATCAAGTGCAAAACCACCAGACTGAGAAACAGCTTCATTCCAGAAGCTGTGAGACTTTCTCAATACATAAATGGACAAGAACTGCTATTGTAGCACCTTAATCACTACTGACACTGTCACTTTATCAATGCTGGTCATCATGCCCTTTGCTGCTATAGTATTTATTTACACCTATATTTATACCTACACTCGATACCCATACTCCATACTGGTACTCAGGTTGCTGCACTCTACTTATAGTATTATTTCTTGTATTGTTTTATGACTTGTTATTCCTGTTTGTTAAAAAAAAAAAACCCAACAAAAAACAAAAACAAAAACAAAATTAAAAACCCCAACTATTCATTTATTACTTTAAAAAAAATTCTGTTTTTTCATTATTTTGTTTCTTTTCACTCCGGGACCGTGTGTACATAATTTCATTCCACCTCATGTTAACATGTGATGCGAAGGACAATATAGCTCCTTGAATCCTTGAAACACACTGATTAACGGATGATTACTGAATGAATAATGATTATGGTTTTGACACATAATGTTTTAAACTGAAATAAGTCCAAAGGTCACAGAGGTTATATTTATGCAACACTCAGCATCATGCACAGTGAGACATTAGGGGGAAAATCAGCTTTGATATCATAACAGACAGGTAGCAGG